GATGAGGTTGCAGTTTAATACATTAAAATAATAGCTGTAAATGTAACATTAAATAACACACTACACTTAAAATTATAATCAAGTACTTTACATATGCTTTAGTAACATCAGTGTACAAAATATTAAAACTGATTTAAAATGCCCTTTAATGTAAAACAGTCAATTTGATATTATTACAAAGTGCACTTTTTAAAAGTGTACTTAAGTGTTTTAAGAAACATTTTCATGAAATTGTACTCTCGTTAGTTCATGCTTTTATTTCATTAATACAATATCTGCAAGAACTTTTTTTAAATATATACTTTTAAGATTGAAGTACAAAAACAGTACAAATCACAAGGGTTATGGAGCATAAAACAGCTTTTCTAGGCCAATGGTATGTAATTTAAAAAAACCTGACAAAAGTACTGTTCATTTCTTTTGATGTAAAACATTATTGAAATTGGGAAATACATATTGCGTCTTTAAGAGATGGTACAAGAGAATATTTCTGACAGCACCTGCTGTAATTGCTCTTATGAAATCGCACCAGGTTATTTTGGAACATACTGAATAAGCACATATTAGAACAAATTAGAACTGGCATGTTGACATTTCAGAATATTTTCTGTCGTCTCAGCATCAAAATACAACCCTAGTAAAGCATCATGACTCTCAGCTGTCAAAACGGACATTAACCCGAATTGCGTAAAGCTGCTGTGGTCAGCACCAGGGATGTGTATTTGGTGTGAATGATAAATTGGTGTATTTGATGTCGTAAGAGGTATTACCCCCTTCCGATCTGGGGACAGCTAATGTTTATTTAAGCGATATAGCAAATGTGCAAAGCATGCATAATGGTGCTGTGCTGTAAATAATGGGCCTCATTAACTGAGGTGTCAGAATGCAACATCTTACATTGTCTCTTAAGCTGTTTAGAATCACGGCTGATACAACAAATGGATTGCAGGTCATCAGGGAGCACTGAATTAATCATGACTACTCTCAGTCTCTAGGATTTCCACAACTACCTACAGCTATATATCTCAGAAAATGGTGCAACCACATTTTACACTGCAAGAAAGATTCACAAATCATTTTGTGACAGATCTGGAATAGGAAGTGGGATTTTCAAAGCAGGTCAGGTTTTGTGGCACTTACATAAAGCACAAAGATTTGCAGTTGCTCATTTTTCTGTGGTGTAGATGGTCATAGTGCTCTGTATTGCTGTAATAAACAGTATTAGCCTGTAGTTTGACAGTGAGAGACTAGGAAACCGTGACCATCATTAGCTTTTGATGACATTTTTGCTTTGTGAAACCACCTGTAATCACCTGGCATACAGCAGGTGTTGAAAATAGTTATATCATGTGGCCATTAATTTGAATGCAGAGTAACAACTCAACATATTGGATATGTTCACAGCAGTTGAAGAACACAATTGTCAGTCCAGTTTGGAGTTATACATACGGTTTTGTTCACACACGGTTTGAACAAAATGAACAAAATTGGTTTATGAAAGAGATCAACAACTGCATTCTATAACTCATTATTCACAACCAAATTTTGGGAATAGACTTGGTTGATATCTGCTGTATGAATGGAACCATAGTCTAGTTATCTATTAATTTATTAAAAAATACACGAAAATTCAATTTATACATACAGTTTCTTGAATACACCACTTTTATGATCAGCAAGTTTTTAATTTCTGAATTAAAATAGATTTTATTTCATTTAAATTGAATTCATATTATTTTGTGGCATAAACACTAAATGTCGGGGTGATACAACTGTCATTATATCATAATGAAGAAGAGTACAAAATAAAACATAAAAGAAGTGAATTCTTTAAAAAACATATTAAGTGGTTATAATGATAATAATAATAATAATAATAATAATAAGAAAATATTATGCATAAACTACTTAAGATGTTCTTTGGGAGAAATTATGGAATGGTCATGTGGTCCAACTAACATGCAAAACACAGAACAGAACAAAAAAAATAAAAATAAAAATACAGAACAAAACAAAAAACACAAAACAAAGCAAAACAAAACAGAACAAAACAGACAAAAACAGAATACAGAACAAAACACAAAAGAAAAACAAAAAACAAAGCAAAACACAGAACAAAGAACAGAACAAAACACAGAACAAAGAGCAGGAAAAAAAAAACACAACAGAGAACAAAACAAAAGAAAACAGTCCTTGTAGAAAAAGCCCCTGCAGACCCTCATGACTGTAAGACAAGTTAAGGTTGTAAAATGTCATCCAAAGAGAAAGGAAAAATTGAAATCGCATCATATGACCCCTTTAAAAGATATATCTTAATATATATTTTTACAACTTCAAGGTTCACTGACTGTGTGAATGTAGCTTTATATTCTCTCTCTTCCTCTGTCTGTCTCTTTCGCTTTTTCCAAAAATGTATTCTCAGCGCAATGAATTTGTCCTCTGCTGAGGCAGATGTTGAGCTCTTTACATACTGTGAAAACAGATGTTGGTTCTCATCCTCTTGAGATGCCACCAACCAAATATCCTGCTCAAAATAATCATCTTCTCCTGTGGAGAAACACAATATGCTGTCATCATGTCTAGATCGAAAGCTTTGCTAAGACAAAAACCAATTAAAACTTCTTGAATGGTTTTACTTTGATGAATGCAAAGCAAATCAAATGCAATCATATCACTGATGAATATGTTTAATTATATCCTGATCCTGTCATCATAGTTCTTTATTGATTTACTGGTGGATTTTTGATGGTATTGAAGGATTTATTTTCCATACAGAGAAAATTGATCAGCTGAGCATAAGCAAATGATTATTGACAGACTTGCAATCACCAGAAGATTATTTCACATTCAGAATGAATCACAGATGAATATTTCATTTAGATGTTTTAGCCATGATAAAGAAGGTCTGCTATCATTCAGTCTCTTCACATTACTTCCCATATTTTTCCAGCGCTACCTACCATAAATACCAATCAATCAACCAACCAACCAACCAACCAACCAATCAATCAATCAATCAAGCAGTTTTGATGTGTGTAATTTTGTTGAACAGCACAGGTGAGAGTGAATGATAAGCTGTAAAAGTCTTTTAAGACAACAAACAAATACTTCAAAATGAAGCATCCATCTCATAAGAGCCCATAGAGCTTACACTAGACGAACACCTGAGCTTAGCCTACGGTGTTTGCATTGAAAGGTGACTTTTAAATGACTCCTATCTCAGAATGCTAATTACTACCTCAACAGCTTATCAGTTTTCCAGGAGGGTTTATATAATGCCTAAATGAAGCATCGATCCACCACAGACCATCTGATCCCAGGAGGAAAATCTTCAGAATCTCTGTGGGCCAGAGATACGGGGATGAAGCATCCGTACCTGTCTGCCTCCCCTCTTTCTCTCTCTCGGCCCCTGGGCTCTACACTCTGCTGAAAGTCAATGACTTCCTGGCCTTGTGCTTGCACACAGGGCTCTGGGGGCAATGTGTGTCGAAAATGAAATGGTACAAGCTCAGTTTCACGCTGCCTCGGGCTGTATTGTACATTAGGCAGGTCTTACATTGGACTGCTGTCTCTCTGTCAGCAATTAGGCAGGCTTAGACGAGTTGAATGATTTAATTTTCAGTGACGCTGCCAACTGTGTGTCAGCTGCTGATAGCATGTTATCTCCGGCTCTCTGTCCCTGCTCTCTCTCTCACTAGTTCGCTCTCTCTCTTGTGTGTGAATAAGTTTTGAAATGCTCTGAGCAAAGTGGGCTTTTTGACAATATCAGCATAAATCCATATCGTTTTATAGTGTAAATGCATTAAAATAGCTTGCAATTATCACTGAAGATTGAAGACCAGTAGTAGTGATTTTCTTTTTGATTGCATAATAATGGCAATATATTCGGTGATGCCTGAATACAGAATTAAACTTGTCGGAGGATTCTTTTTAAATATTATTTTGCCATCACTTAATGGATTAATTGGCAATTAAGATTAGTTAAACCTTTAGAGAGGTTTTATAAATACGTCTATTTTTATGTTTTTAATTGATGTTTTATTTTAAAAAAACTGTTCATAGTTTGTGTTGTGTTTTTGCTTATAAATGCAGAGTCACCACAAAATGTGATAGCATTAAATTAGTGGTTCTCAACCGGGGGCTAGGGTCCACTACATCCAAGGGCCTTAGAAAACATCCAAGGGAGCCGCAGAATGACTTAAAAGAAAAACAACAACAACAACAAAAACATATACAATCAGGAAATTGCAATCATATACACTTGAACATCTGAAATCACAAAATGAATTGTCAATAATTAATTTCATATTAATAAATCATTTTTGAGAACAAGTTTTGTTACAATAACAGCAGAAATACCAAAAATATCTTTGCCTGTATGGTGGGAAAAGTTTAATATTTTGTTTGACAGTGAGGAGTATTTGAGTCCACTGCATTAGATAACAAATATCAGCAAGGCATCTGTACTCAAATGCTGCTAGATCTAAAAAACTACCTTTACTTTTTGCAATAAATATCTTGTTTCAAGGTGATTCATATTGGATGGATTTTTTTAGAGGAATGCAAATGTCTTTGTTTTTTCACAGTAGGATACTGATAATTGTGGGAGAATGGTTTAAATGTGCTAAATTATGATGAAAATAATTTCACAATGCAGAAAAACAGTAATGCTCCCAAAATGTTTCCTGCAGATATGGCCATATAGTATTCACAACAGGTCCCCTACCATGAAATCTCTTCACAGTTCGGTGAGAAGAATATATTATTGTACACACGCACATACTTCCTCTGGGTTCAGCATCTCATACCAGAGGCCAAACCATCTGCCAGCCTGATCGCTGGCCTGTGAGACTCGGTTCACTGTTTCCTTCATTTCTTTTCACCACTCACCACCCAGAGGCCAAAACCTTCCACGATTACATTTACAGAATGACAGACTTAATGGCTGTGTCCTTGTCTTAGCAGCGGCCAGCTGAGAATAACCTGTCACTCTCTTAAGGATGCTCCGTAAATCAAGTGCACTTTATCGTTGTATTCACCTGTCCTGACGCAAACGGGAGCACCCAGAAGGCCAAAAGGTGTTAATGTAAGTGTTTTGTGTCTTTGTTGTAGTGGCTGCCATGGATTCGGAAGATGAACCCTTGTTGCTCCAAGGTACCTGGAACCTAAGTGAGTTTGAAGAGCAAGAGGAGGAGGAAGAAGAGGAGGAGGGAGAAGGAGGAACAGAACAACCAACTGGAAATGAGCAGGTCTGTAAAGGGTTGTGGTGGGCTTTCGGCTGGGTGTACACGCAACCCTGGGCGAGCGGACTGGTTCTGGCCGTGGGATTTCTGGTACCCTTCGCCCTCTCTGCTTATATGTTCCTTCACTGTGAACCGCTAGACATTGACCTTTCTTACAGCGCATTCGAGGTCAGGAGTCATGCCTCGGCAGAACGTTTTGACTCTCTCACCATTGCACTGAAAAGTCAGTTGGGGTCTTGGGACAGGCACAGGCGTGACGCCGAGGGATTTGACCTTGAATCCAATGCTCTGAGGGACCTTTTTTTGCTCATGGTAAACAGAAAAGGGAAGGACGTCTCTACAGTGGTGAATGTCACAGAACCTGCAGGGATCTTGGGACAGACTAAGACGGGGGCACACAATGACAACAGACAGTTTGGAAATGAGAAAAACAACAAGACTAAAGAGGAAAAGATAGAATCTGTAAAGCCTAACATAGCAGTAAACCTCAATTCAAGTGATGCTGGAGATCACAGGAAACTAGACTCACCCTTAATGAGGAAGCGAAGATTTGCGGGTTACTCCTACCTCCAGACCCAGGCACTGTGGAGGATAGAGCTAGTGTTCGTGGCCCAGGGTGACAAGGATAATAACATCTTCACCCCCGAACGCCTTGACACCATACACCACGTAGAGAGACTTCTAATGCAGCACCCTCAGTTTCAACAGTTCTGCTGGAAGCCACTGGAGGTGTTGCGAGACTTGCCTTTGGGACCTTCCTTCTGCTCCCCTCCAAGCTCCCTCATGTCCTACCTCTTTCCCAGTGAGCGTGGGGGGAAGATCTACTATGATGGAATGGGACCTGATCTAGCCGATATACATGGTGAGTCATTGGGGGCCAAACTATCCCACTCTCCATTAACAATTCAGTAATCCACATTTATTTTTAACTTGAAGACTTTTGAATGCTGCACAGCATATTGAGTAAAACGAAGCTTAATTACAGCAAATAAGCTGCAGCTGGTTCTTCATGGTTTCTGCCTAGTCCAAGTTGGTGAATAGTCGGTTCAAGTTGGTTTAGATGGTTGACCAGTTGGACTCCCAGTTGGTGGAGACTTTGCTGATCTATAAGACCACATTGGAGCAGAAACATACCAGCTGGATCAGGTTAAACTGGAATGGCCTGGTTTGCCAGTAGGGTTAGCCTTGGTTAACATATAACAGGGGTGTCCAATCCTGCTCCTGGAGGGCCAGTATCCTATAGAGCTCCAACACACTTTCCAAGTTTCCAATGATCCTAAAGACCTTGATTAATTGGTTCAGGTGTGTCCAATTGAGCCTTCGCAAAGACCCGCCGCCCTTCGTTACTGTTGCTATGTCCGACAAGCCATGGCGCTCTCACACCAAAAATCATATTCTCACGCAGTGCAATAAACATTGCAGAGCAAAGAGGACACTGACAACACGCCGACAGACAAGACAGAGCAGGTTACTTTAGGTATGAAACAAAGTCCCAGTTTTCAATAAAAAACAATAAATATCATTTTGTGGCTTTAATGTGTTGTGAAAGATCGCTGTAATGCCTCAGTTCAAGCGGCATGTGAACCAATCATCTCTTTCTCTTTACTAGTTATAGCATGACACAAACATGAATTAACATCAGAAGGTATCTCGTTTCAACCACAGAAAGACCTCAATACACACTATTTTTCAAGTTCAAGTCCACCGACGTCGATCTACACTCCAGTCTAGTTTGTATGTCAGACATAAATGGCAGATTCGGCATTATGATTGGTCAGATCGCCTGTCAATAAAACTTCCTGCGAAGGGTCAGTTAGGGTTGGAGTTAAACTCTTCAGGAAAGCATTCCTTTTGGAGCAGGACTGGACACCTATCTACATATATTGTAAAGAGTAACCACAAATGGTGGCTTTTTTAATGTTCAAGACCCCCTTCACAATTTTGATCAAATGAAAACTGAAATCTTTTTTGATTGTAATATCCTCTATTCTTAGGTGCCCTGAGCTTGGCCATCACTCATCCGCAATTTTACTGGTACATTGATGAGACACTTACACCGGACAAGCTTCAGTCCTCGCTTCTTCGCAGTGAGATCCATTTTGGAGCTCCTCTCCCCTCCTTCTACTCTCTTCAAGACAGACCTCTCGAACAGAGACGTCTTTTCAGAGACTTTGTGGTGCAGTATGCGGACATACTGTCACAACAATCCACCAGGTGGGTGTTGGGATCACTTAAACAAGAAGGCTTATTGTTTATTTGTCTGGTCTAATAGCATGAATGGTTAGTAAAAGCAGAATCGATTTAACAAACATACAAACCAGGGAATTCAGCATGAGATCCATGATTGCTTGTGGGGCATTATACATGGTGCTTGGATCCTAGAGTTTGTCATGAACCAAACATTTATCATTGTACTTATTGTGTTCATACTGTATTGCAAAACACTTTTTCTGCTATTGAGGTGGGATACGGGTAAGGTTAGGGACAGGTTTGGTGGTATGGGTAGGTTTAAGGGTGGGTTAAGGTGTAACAGTGTAATTATACATGTAATTACAGAAATTAATTACAGATGTAATTACATTCCGGTATTTTTTGTAATATATGTAAAATGTAAAAGCATGTATGTACACAATAAGTGCGTTGTTCCAAATGATTAGTTTAAATGTAAGTACATAGTAGTTATGGCCGCCTAATATAAAGTGGGACCATTGCTTTTAATAAATGATGCTATCTTTTGAAATTCACTGAAGATTGGAATGTAGTCCATATTGAATAGAAACGTGTGAAATTGACTTAGATCCCAGTTGGTGGAAGCTTTATTCCTCACCTTGTATATATCTGCAATGTCCATATGCATATTGCCAAGTTGATAAGTGAGATATTACACTGCAAAAAAATAGTTTTTTTTTTCATTTTTAAACATTTCTAAAAAAATCCTTAAAGATATAATTACAATACATTTAGAACGTGTTTCAGACAAAATATTTTGAATATTCTTTTTCCACCCCTCTGGGAAATTCCTACTTGTTTATACTATAAATCAAATATAACTTTTGCAGGTTAATTTATTGTATTAAGGATGCTTTTTTCTCTGGAAAAACCATGAATATACTAAATATACTTCACAAAGTGAAGAAGGTAAATGTTATCTTGCAGAGAATGGTGTTTTAATTGAAATCAGGGCTACAGTTCAGCTTGACTGGTAACCCATTTGTCTGTATAATGTTGTTCTTTGTAAAATAAATTCATGCAATTCAGAATACATACATAAATTAAAAACATGAAGCTTCCCTGCCATGCAAAATGTCTTCCAAAAGCAATCAGTTTTGTAAAATGAATGAACTCCTTTCAGTGCTCAAATCCATTCATGGCATTTTTATTCTAAAAGTGATCTACTGTATTAAATAAAAGTTAAAGTCTGTGTGTGAAAATTTTCATAAGGCAGAATTTGCTTTCATAAATTTGACATCCATAACACACACAATGGCACAATGGTGATGAATCATGCTCTTCTGTGAAGCAGCTGGAGATACTGTTCGCTTTAATAGCACAAAACTAACGAGTTATATATAAATGATTAAACACACAATGGGAGACTATTAAGTCACAAAGTATTCTTTTTAGTGTCAGTGACAAAAGTCAGATGCTTTGATTTTGGCTGTAGTCGTCTTTGCAAATGAAACCCCGGAAGGATGATCAGACTTTGAAACGAAACCTGCCATGAATCCGAGACAATGACTCAAAGCTTTATTACATCTGCAAAACACCCCTAATATACTTACTGCTGTCAAGACAGTGAATGTAAGCAGATGCTATTCAAATCAAATGACAGTCATTACCGCAGGATGACAGTGGTAGGAGGCCTAGAAATGAGCCAGTGGCCAGACACAGAAAAGGCATTAATTGAAGCTCTGATACTGTAATAACTCCTTTAAGAGCCCCCCTATGTAATTAAGATAATCTTTTTCCATCTGCTAATGTGTGCCCATCTCCATTTTGTCTCTCATCCCCCTCATCTGGTCCTTCTATTGTAACATATCGTCTGATGTTAACCATAACCCATCTTGACTATCCTTCTCTCTCATCCCTTGTTTTTGATTCTCTCTCAGTAAAGTGAAGGTGTTGTACGGGGGTACGGAGTTATTTGACGATGAGGTGCGGAAGACCTTCCACAGTGACATGTTGCTGGCTTTATTCAGTGGGGGATGCATTACTGTCCTTGTGTACTTTCTCACCTCATTTTCTGGTAAGACACTCCCCAAGCATTCTAATCAAATAAACCTGCAGACACCACAGTGATTTTAGCACATGTTGTACAGTCACCACAAAGTAGAGATGCCAGTGTTCAATATATAATTATGTTTACAATAATTATCAAGTAATTAGTTAATTAACTGTATGCTGGTTACCTTTAGCAAGTAAAAGAGAAACTTGGTGCATAGAATTCATTGTTTAGATTGGCTGAGCACTGATATTTATTGCATTTCTGTGTAGTGGTGGTGGGGATTTTTCTGTGAGTCTTTCTGCAGGTTATGTCTATCAACCTTATTTTTAACGCAAGAGCTGGCGCAGCCATTTCTAACTTGAATGTGCAGGGCTTTTAAGCTGCTTGCAGTTATTTTAGCTGTACACTCCATAATACAAGACTTATGTGCTGTTTTAATATTAATGTTTTTATATAGATTTTTCACGTTTAACCCATATTTTGAATTACAAATTGCACTGAATTGCATTTTAGGGTTAAAGGAAAGGTTCGGCTTAATGAAAATGCACCACTAATTTTATATCCGTTTTTCTATTGATTGTTTTCTTACAGTGTATAAAAACAGTCCTTTATGCTGGTTGATGTTGCAGACTGGTATCATATAAATTTTTAATTATTATCATAATCACTTTTAATTCATCACTTTTAAATTCATTATAATTTAATACAATCAGGAACACACTGGTTTGTAGCACAAATAGTTTTATTGTACTTTGTTATTATGGTAACACATTACAATAAGGTCCCATTAGGTAACATTAGTTAATGTATTCATTAAAATTAATTAGCAGTGAGCAGTTAATTTGCTACAGTATTTATTAATCTTTGTCAACGTTAGTTAAAGTTAAAGTTTGTCAGTTCATGTCAGCTCAGCTCCATTAAATAATATTATTAACAGATACTTTTAATGAATGTTTGATTTTAATAATGTAGTAGTATGTGTTAAAATTAACATGAAATAAGATTAATAAATGGTTTAGATGTGCACTTTTTTTTGGTCAGTTCAACTAATGTAGTTAACTAGTGTTAACAACTGGAACCTTGTTATTGTTACCATTATTCTTCTAGTTATTGATCTAGTGGCTGATGCATCAGACGTCTCACATATTCACTTACATGTTAAAAAAGTTGGATGCATCAATTAGTAGCAACAAGTGGCTGGCTGCATTTGAATATATATATACTTTCCCATTATATAGCAGGCAAGGTATGTGAACAACAGTATGTGAACAGAGTGTGTCTGAATTCATAGACTCTAAAAAATGCTGGGTTAAATACAACCAAGTGC